TATTCAGACACGAAGCCGACACGTTCAGTTGCAGTCAAAATGGGTTTATGTGTTGTGTAGAGCTGTTTCACCTCCTGCATCATGCGTCCCTGCCCGCTGCTGTCCTGCAGGTTAGCCAGTAGTTTGTCAAGGGTTTGGCTGACGTGGACGTGTTGGTCCGTCTGTCCACTACTGCAGAGGGCCGCGAGCACCAGACCCAGACCCAACATGCAGCCGGTACTGAGGAGAGAAGAGAAACACAAAATCAGCAATAAGTCTATTTCATAATTTGTGTATCCTGTATCCATCTCTAAGACTGTGTTCGACCTTAATCAGTGTTTTGGTCTGTATATGCAAATGTGTCTGCAAGTGCACGAGCATATATCTACAGAGTTTGTGCAGAGCTTTGATAAATACCAGTTTTCTTGCTGTGAATAATGAGGCTTGTGGTGTGCAGCTGGTTGAACTTAAGTCTTGGAACGAGTGACCTTTAGTGACATTTTGGTGATTTCTAGAGGCCAGACAAGCTGAATGGGTTGATTCTGTAACGCTGTTACATGCTTATAAAAGGCAGTTGAAGCCATATATTAAAATCTGCTGTGAACTTTTCCAGAGTGGAGTAGCAACAGTAATAAACACACAAGCATTGGCTTTTGAAATGTATTGATTTTCACAATAAAATATAGAAACATTTGTGTTTTCTAAATGTATTAAGAATGCCCTGTGTTGGCTGAGGGCTGCAAGGTGCCTCGGTGGTTCGCACTGTGGCCTCGCAGAAAGAAGGTTGCCGGTTCGCGTCCCGGTGAGGACACCCGGGATCTTTCTGCGTGGAGTTTGCATGTTCTCCCTGTGCAGCATGGGTTCTCTCTGGGTTCTCCAGCTTCCTCCCACACAGTCCACAAACATGTTGAGGTTAATTGGTGATTCTAAATTGTCCGTAGGTGTGAATGTGCGTGTGCTTGGTTGTCTGTCTCTAAGTGTAGCCCTGTGATAGACTGGTGACCTGTCCAGGGTGTCCCCTGCCTACGACCCTAGTGAGAATTAAGCGGTGTATAGATAATGGATGGATGGGTGGATGGATGGATGGATGTGTAGACTTATATATTTCTATTTCTGCAGGTTTATCTTGCCTAGAGTGACACTCACCAAACCCAAATCACACCATAGTAGTCACTCATCACATACTCATGCTTAATGCATGCCGGTCTACTGCACAAAGTACAGCTAAAACCCAACGTGCATGTATACAGCAGCAGGTTTGAGCCAGATGAGGAAACCTGAGTCCGTCTCATTGGACATATACTGACCGTTGTGTCAATAGATGACTACCGTAAATTCTGGACTATAAGCCTCTACTTTTTCCACACGCTTTGATCACAAAAACAATGACGCGGCTAATTTATGGATTTTTCAGATTTTTGCGAATTTGCCTCGAGATGTAAGTGACATTGAGAGTGACAATGAAAGAGAGACTGAGGAAGTGTGTGACGAATTAATTCTGAGGCTGTTCAATTCCGACACTGAAGACGACGACTTTAGTGGTTTTAGTGCGCAGGAGGAAGATGAAGATAGCGATCAATGACTTTTCCTGGTAGGCTACTGTATTTTTGTTTTTTTTAACCAGCCGTGTTACAGGCACTGTTTGGGGGGAAAAAAATGGTACACATTTAATTAAAGTTTTAAAAAATCNCTCCACGCAGAAAGATCCCGGTGCCCCCACCGGGACGCCAACTGGCAACCTTCTTGCTGCGAGGCAACAGTGCTAACCACCGAGCCACCTTGCAACATTTCTCATTATTACAATTATTATCACAGAGCAAAATAAAGGTGTCTGTTCCTGCTGCTCTCTGACATTATAAGTTCGACAGGAAGTAAGAAGTCTGACAGCTTTGAAGGAGTAAAACTACAGGACTTTTAGTTTCATCTCTCAGTTAATCCTGAAATTGTAGTTTTCACAGTTTAAAAAATGCTGATAGGGTTAGGGTGGATACCAGAAGGGCTAAAATGCCCTTTGCAGATGAGTCTTTACTGCTAAATATATGCAAAATGCCAAGAAATAAATACCAACCCTGGTCTCAGACACATGTGGGTGAACTTCTTACCTGGATGAGGTAGCGCTCTGATCCAACTAAAGCCACCAAGCCGTTGACAGCAGACAGTCTCTGCATTGTGGGACAACCCTGAAACACAAGTCGTCTGCTGAAACTGTGCAAATCATTTGGATTGGAAAAGTGTTTGAACCGTGACTAGTCATTGTCAGCAACCGACGTTTTGATTTCGACTGAGAAAATGGGTCGACTTGTAGTAATAGTTCACGCCTTTGTCGTACCTCAGCCAGTAAGATCTTGATCCAAGCGGCCAGCAGACGAGGCTGGATGTCTTCTGCTTTACCGTGGCCGGACATGGACAGGCCGTGCACCACCAACCCCAGAGCCAGGGAGAAGCCTGGGGTCTGGAAACATGGAGTTGACTTTAGAATGCCTCAAAATGACCCTTAGTTAATCTTAAATACTTAAATCAACCTGTTCTGTAACACATTCCCACATGGCAATATCTAAAACCACAAAGACTCCTTTTCACGGTGGACTTGACTTTTTCGTCCAGCAAAAAGCACTACAGCTAAGGCAAAGGTCACATTTGTTTAAAGGATGCTTGACGACAACCCCTGTGTCAAATGCAACCAGTCAGTTGATCAGTCAAACCATCACATGACGCCACTGCAACAACAACCATATCGACACCACCAGTCCCTCCTGCTGACCTGCTGGCTCTCCTCAGTCAGGCTGCGCAGAGTGTTCATCACTTCCTCAGCTTTGGCAGCATCAATAAGGCCTCCACTGAAGGCCGAGACGCCCACACACGCCACGGCGTACGCCAAGACCTGCACAGGCGGATCAAAAAATAAAAAAATTCCAATATCAACGAAATGTCACAATGTTGGGGAAATGCTTATTTTTTTGTTCATAGTTTATTTTTTTCTCAATCTTTTCCTGTTTTCTTCTCCCTGCAGGGTCAGGGATTCACACGTTCAAGGCATCCAAACAAAAGTGCAGCGCTCACAGTGTTACACCTGCAGTAACTACAGGAAGTCATACCGTGCCCTTAAAAATAGAAAAATCTTTTCTCAGACATCAAGGTGGGGAGAGGAGTTGTATTAAAAGCACAGCCCCTTGTAACTGCAGCCCCTTTCGTTTTAAATGACAGAAGAAAACATTGCGCAGCTCTTTTGTCAGTCTTTCAAAGGCTTTTGATACATTCAAACATGCCTTATTTTTTCAAGCATTAGATTCAATAAAAAATGCTTTTAAATAGTTTTTGAGTTACCTCCTGTGCAGACAACAGTGTGTGACTATTAGAACTACAAAATTTGTGCAAGTTGCAAAAGGTGTGTCACATTGCTCAATCCTGTAGCCTGTTTTGTTCACTGTTTTTAAAAAGTGACATTGCCTCCACTGTATGTGGCTGTAATGTACAACTTTATGCTGATGATACAATGTTGTACTATGGAGCAGTTACTGTACATTCTGCTGTCCAATCCTTACAGCACTGATTTGAAGAATTATAAACTGTACTCTATAAGCATAAACTACTTCTTAATGCAGATCCGAAGTAATTTCATGATCTTTACTACAGCAAAAATACTTATGACAATGTGGTCAACCCCACTATGAGTGGCACAAGTACAGAAATGATTATGGACTAGAAACACCTGCGAATTTGATCAATGAAAAGCTGAAGTATAGATATTACGTGTCCAATCTGGTGGTACATTACGACCAAAAATTAGTTTGTTTTACAGGAATAAATCATGTTTCCCACTGCACTGCAGACAAATGACAAATTTTTCAGCGTTGGACTTTGCTGACACTTTTTTACAAGCATGCTTCAGCTGTGACTTTTAAGTCCTGTGAGACTGTTTATTACTGTGCATTAGGATTTATTACCGGTGATAATTATAATACTCATCATTGTGAGATGTATGCTAAGGTTGAGTGACCCTCCCTCTCTGTGATGAGGGTGTACCTTTTTTTTTTATTTTTAACCCATTGTTATCTTTAAATGAGAGCCCTTAACAAACACACTTACATAACTGGATTACGCTACAGTTGCCGGCTTGTTTTTACTGATCTTGGTAAATCCAGTTTAAGGCTCGATTCATTTTCATCCTTATGGCAACATACATTTGTTTTAGTTGATTTGTTGGTATTCATTTCTTGCATTAAGTCTTCTATTATTTTTTGCTATCATTGTTATCTAAGTTTGTTTTGTGTGTCCACATCTTGTGCTTTCTTACTCGGCTACATTGTGAATGAGGCCTCAGAGTTTAAGTAGTTTACAACACTTGCACAGACTTGATTGGCTTTAATTTGATTTAAGTGAATAAAAAATAAGCCGTAATCTTTATACTTTGTGCGTCTCTCATTTTGTTGTGGCCATTTTGAGCCAGGTCATCAAAAAAAAAAAAAAAAAAGGCTCTCTTGATGAATTGTCTTCTGCTCTATTAATGCTACTGTCAGTGCACAAACCATTACTTCTTCATCTTATATGACAGAACTGTCACAATATGACTTTTGACTAAACAGGAAATATTGTGACACATTTCAGTCCTGGCTGATTTAGCAACATCTACAGCCAGATTAACCTGTGAGAGTTTAAGTCTGTTTTCTTCTTACTATGTTAAGGCTTTAAAGACTTTGAGGACAGCTACATTGCTTTGGTGAGAAAGCATGTAAAGCCCTTTTCAGACAAGTCACATTTCTGCTACATTAATCTGTTCATGGACACCATTCTGTCATTTCAACAAAGGTCATCTTTTATGTTAATGTTCCTCACAGCTTCACATTAGTGTCGTGTCGAAAACAATACAAAGCTGATACAAGGTCTGACTTGACTGCTGTTGCAACATTTTCAGAAAAGTGACCAGGTTTCTTATTCAGACACGAAGCCGACACGTTCAGTTGCAGTCAAAATGGGTTTATGTGTTGTGTAGAGCTGTTTCACCTCCTGCATCATGCGTCCCTGCCCGCTGCTGTCCTGCAGGTTAGCCAGTAGTTTGTCAAGGGTTTGGCTGACGTGGACGTGTTGGTCCGTCTGTCCACTACTGCAGAGGGCCGCGAGCACCAGACCCAGACCCAACATGCAGCCGGTACTGAGGAGAGAAGAGAAACACAAAATCAGCAATAAGTCTATTTCATAATTTGTGTATCCTATATCCATCTCTAAGACTGTGTTCGACCTTAATCAGTGTTTTGGTCTGTATATGCAAATGTGTCTGCAAGTGCACAAGCATATATCTACAGAGTTTGTGCAGAGCTTTGATAAATACCAGTTTTCTTGCTGTGAATAATGAGGCTTGTGGTGTGCAGCTGGTTGAACTTAAGTCTTGGAACGAGTGACCTTTAGTGACATTTTGGTGATTTCTAGAGGCCAGACAAGCTGAATGGGTTGATTCTGTAACGCTGTTACATGCTTATAAAAGCCAGTTGAAGCCATATATTAAAATCTGCTGTGAACTTTTCCAGAGTGTAGTAGCAACAGTAATAAACACACAAGCATTGGCTTTTGAAATGTATTGATTTTCACAATAAAATATAGAAACATTCGTGTTTTCTAAATGTATTAAGAATGCTCTGTATTGGCTGAGGGCTGCAAGGTGGCTCGGTGGTTAGGTTGCCTCGCAGCTAGAAGGTTGCCGGTTCGCGTCCCGGTGAGGACACCCGGGATCTTTCTGTGTGGAGTCTCCATGTTCTCCCCGTGCAGCATGGGTTCTCTCCGGGTTCTCCGTCTCCTCCTCCCACAGTCCAAAAACATGTTGAGGTTAATTGGTGATTCTAAATTGTCTGTAGGTGTGAATGTGAGTGTGCTTGGTTGTCTGTCTCTAAGTGTAGCCCTGTGATAGACCCTGTCCAGGGTGTCCCCTGCCTTCACCCCAAGTCAGCTGGGATAGACTCCAGCCCCCTACGACCCTAGTGAGGATTAAGCGGTGTATAGATAATGGATGGATGGATGTGTAGACTTACATATTTTTATTTATGCAGGTTTATCTTGCCTAGAGTGACACTCACCAAACCCAGATCACACCATAATAGTCACTCATCACATGCTCATGCTTAATGCACGCCGGTTTACTGCACAAAGTACAGCTAAAACCCAACGTGCATGTATACAGCAGCAGGTTTGAGCCAGATGAGGAAACCTGAGTCCGTCTCATTGGACACATACTGACCGTTGTGCCAATAGATGACTACCGTAAATTCTGGACTATAAGCCGCTACTTTTTCCACACGCTTTGATCACAAAAACAATGATGTGACTAATTTATGGATTTTTCAGATTTTTGCGAATTTGCCTCGAGATGTAAGTGACATTGAGAGCGACAACGAAAGAGAGACCGAGGAAGTGTGTGACGAATTAATTCTGAGGCTGTTCAATTCCGACACTGAAGAAGACGACTTTAGTGGTTTTAGTGCGCAGGAGGAAGATGAAGATAAGATAGATCAATGACTTTTCCTGGTAGGCTACTGTAGTTTTTGTTTTTTTAACCAGCCGTGTTACATGCACTGTTCGGGGGAAAAAAAGGTATTTACGGTACGTATTTGTGTATGTTACCGGTATGTATTTAATTAAAAGTCCAAAAAATCTTTGTGTGTAAATATCTCATGTTACAACATGGACACCTGCGACTTATAGACAAGTGAGGCCTTTATATGTACAAAACTTGTTTTCTTTTTCAAGTTAGTGGGTGCGGCTTATATTCAGGTGCGCTCAATCGTCAGGAAATTACGGTACATGGCTTTGTCATTGTAATGCCCTGGCAATGTGTGCATTTGAGGGTTAAACCACAGTGTCTAAGGATGCGACTCTAAGGACAATTATATTTATTTATTCGGATGAAAACTGGTTTAAACCCGAAACAGCCGTCATGCTCACCAAAGGAATCATGAATATATGAGTAGCATGTGTGGAAATAATTCACAAATAGTCCCTAGAATGTATAAAAAAATGGTAGATTCTTCCAAAATAATAAAATGATCAACAAAATCATGTTTTTATGCATGTCAATACACAGATCACTGACTTGTATTCCAGGTCGGGGTTGAAGGAGCAACTTTCCAGAGCATTCAAGGAGCTTAAGAGGAGATCATTGTCCTTCTGAGCAGAGGCGTCACTGGATGACAGAAAAATAAGTCAGTAACAGACGCTTTATGTGTCTAAATCAGTATTCTCCTCCTACAGCTGCTGTACCTGAGGCGCTGGTGGTGCAGACTGGACAGCACCATGCCGAGCGCGAGGCCCGAGTGGAACTGGACGGCTTGGGAGTCATCTGCGGAGGGGGAGCCCGGCAGGCCGGCCTGCAGCGCCGACAGGACCTGGACGAGACCGTCCCTCTGCCAGACCACCAGCACCGGGACCAGCAGGGACAAGGCCAGGCTGGCACAGGAGCGAGCTATGGCACTGGCTGTGTTCTCACCCGAGTAGGAGCGCTGGGGAGGAGGAGGACGGTGTCATGTTGGTCACAGGATCTGTCAGCTAATACTGTATTCTGCTGCGATCTGTACTGTGATATGTCTTGCTTTTGGCTTTTTATGAGGGCAGGAAAGAAGAAAAATCCAGATGGGATTTAAACAAATCCCCAGCCCAAATCATTTCCCTTTTAAAGTGAAAACAGCAGTGAACAGACCAACAACGCATGAATAAAACAGCACGGAAATGTGGTAAAACTGCATGTATACACAACTAAGGAAGGAAGGATAAACCAGAAACTGTCTTCCAGAACATCATCAGTAGAAAAGCTCTGCCTTTAAAAATCTATTTCAATATAGAAGCAGGCAGTGCACAACAAAACAACCCAGTGCTTGTCAGATGAACTGTGTCTGGGCTCATTTACGTTTGGAGCCTAAAAAAACTCCCAGTTAAATGGAAAACTTGTAAAATTTAGAGGTTGTTTCCAGGAGTTAAACTTCTAAAATGAAAAACATTAGATTATTCATAGAGTGTGGAACTTTCATGTAGCAAAAGCAAAAGGAGGAGATGTAGTTTTAAGAAATGTGAAACTGTTAATTGAGCTTTTAGGTGGAAAAAACTGATAACAAATCAGTGTGCTCAGGTTCAGTTTGTATGAAGGGAAAAAAAATGGGGATGTGTGGGGAAAAGAGGGAAGGACAAAAAAAGAGATGCTATTATGCAACTAAGTATAAATGCAACTACTTCAGTCACACATGAATAAAAAGTTGATCACAAAAAAAAGTTTGTATGAAGAAATGCCGAACGCCCAAAGGAGCAAAAAAGATAAATTAAAATTAGTACAGCCCCATATTTAAAATGTTCATTTGTGCTTTGTGTGGATGTTTTGGAAAGCATAAGGCACAACAGTAGTATACTAGTCAGAGAGCTCACATTCCAGGTAACATCTTATCAAGAAGGAGCAACAACAAAAAAACAACTGAACATAAATCAGTTTAACAGAAAGCAGGACAGTGAGAAATCTTTATTCAAGGGGGCCAGATAATGAATACAAAAAAAAAAAAACCTCTTTCCAGTAACTTCTAAAATATGGAGGGCCAAACCTGTCATGATTAAAAATAAATAAATGAATAAATGAGAAAGTAAATAATTAAATGTCTTTTTTTGTTTTTTACATTTTCCTTTCATTTATCCATTTATTCACTGATTTTTCTTTTACCTACTTTATTGTTATTCCCACATTTATATGTATTTCCACAGTGATTTATTATTTTTTACACTTTTTTTATTTTCATATTTACACATTTAATTATCTTCCATGTTCATTTATTTTATTTCCACATTTGGTTATTTATGCATTTATTTTTGCTTTTCCACTTTTCCTAATGTGCACATTTTTATTTTCCCACTCTTCCACATTTTTACTTTTCCCTCAAGTGTCTGCTAATGAGGGAGGCGTGTACTAAAACCCCCGAGTGTCAATCTACAAAGTATTCTTGCATGATAAATGTTCATTTAAATAAGTGTTTTTTTAATATGAGTTTTTCTATTGGCTACACTTCTGTCTTCCTTATAATTTAAGGGACATTTTTAAAAACATCAGTGTTTCCTATTTCTCTTAAATAGAGATAAAAATGACAATAAATACAATTTTTATTTTTTAATTGATTGGTCTTTCACAAAAAGATCCAAGGAGCAGCTTTAGTGTTTAGTCTGTCACTCCACAGGATGATCTCAGTATTAAGTGTTAGTCACTCAATTTTAGGTTGTGTTTATGTGCATATAGTCTGGGTAGACAGCTGGTCTGACTGAAAAAGGACAGTATAGGTGGTTATAACAGCCATCAGTGATAAAACTTACATGCAGGAACCACGGGAAAACTTGCCCCCTGGCCTTGTAGCTGCTGCTGATGATGCTGAGCAGAGTGTCGAGCATCATCGCCAACCAGCTGGCAGTGGGCACAAACTCTGGTCCAGCCTGCAGGGACAAGCCAGGAAATCAGATTTGTAGCGCTGTCAATATGCTGTAATCACATTCTCAACTGTTGGCAGGTTAGGAGGTTTCCACAGCCTTATGTTTGTGTTCGAAATTGGAGTTTATAGGTTACGCAACGGTGGGAATGTTGTACAAGAAGTCATGCAGGGTGTCTTACCCCGAGGCTGCCGTCGCTATCGGCAGGCAGGTTGCTCTCGTACTTGGCGAGGGCAGCAGCGAGGCCGCTCAGAGCCAGGATGGAGTTCCCCTGAACGACGGGACTGTCCCTGAAGACCACACAACCAGCAGTGAGACAAGGCTTCTAATGTAACTGTATGTCAGGTTGTACATTACGGATTTTGTTTCCTGCAGCCACAAGCAGGGGACTCACTTAGTAGCAGCTTTGATAACATCTGTCAGCTGATCTCTGGCCCTGAGATGGAAGAGAAGAAACAAATAGAGAGACAAAGAAAGATGAATAAGGGAGGGAAAATAAAGAAGCAGAGAAACTGTGACCTTGTTCTGCGGTGATGTGTGAACAGCAGCCTTCCAGCTCAGAGCAGAGAATCAATCGGCCCACAGCAGATGTCTGACTCAGTAACATGTATAACCTACAGCTTTCTCCTTACTTTGTATGTGTTGTATGAATACTAGGCTTAAGGTACAACCTGTATTTTTTCCTGTTAACTGTTCCTATTTTGTGGCAATATTCAAACTTTCATCCGGGTAAAAGTGTGTCTGAAGCTTCATTTAGACCAGAAGGAACACAAAAATTCTATGAAACTTTACTTTCATTTCATAACTTGCATGCTTGCTTTTAAAAACTGTAATGTGTTTATTTGGTGCAGTTTAATGCTTTTATTCTGAAAAACTGCAATAAAAAAATAGTTTCACCATCATCTCCATTATTTTATGTTCTAATCTGTTAGTTTTTTGTATTTTATTGTATTCTGCATTCATATGTTTTTGTCTTTCGGTGCGTTTCTGATACAAAAAAACTCATAAAACCACATATGGATGGAATATTTTACCAAATGGAAGCTGCTGAGGAATATTTGCACAGTTTGCACACACAAAGAAACAGGAAATGGCCTGAAAACAAAGAGATAACCATGAGATTGTTACTTTGCTGGTGCAAAAGTACTGTTATCTTTTGCTAGAAATAAAAAAAAATGAGCAAATTGACTGTAAGCATCAGTGCAAAAGGCCAGTTATTAGCGAATTGTAAATATGCGTTAAAGTGATTCTCACCACATCCAGGCACAGTGCTGTTTATACTGTAGCTCCTGTGGGTTCTCTTTGCCTTGTCTCTGCTGCATTTCCAAATCGGCTCGTCGACCCTGGACACAAATCCACCCACGGAGTTAACTACAGTACATCATGCAGAACTTTCAATTGATTTTGTCAAACTCATTTCATTTGGCATCATCTTTGCAGCAGCTAATATGACCACAGTCTAAGAAAAAAAGTTACAAGCACAAAAGAGCATTTGTTAGAATGAGTCCGTAAACTGGGAGGGTCATGGGTCCTGCAGCGGTCTCTTCACAGCCATGGGGAATAAGCTGTGTAAGGAAAATAAAGGCTAATGCACAGCTTAGGGTTTGTGAAGTTTGAGTTTTAGATGTCAATACAATAGTTTTGATTACAGACCGACTACTACACAGCAAAAAAAAAGACCATATACGCATTTAAAGCTGATGTAATAAAGAGCTGTAGCATTAGGGTGCATATAATTACAAGGTTAAATACAATCTATAACATTTACCAGTAGTTAACTTGCTGTTATAACACAGTATGTTCTCTCTTGACATGCTTTCCCCTTGTTTTACACACTCACACCTTCACAACTAAGGAAGTCTGGAGCAGACATTAAAATTTAATGATTTCAGCCTATTCAGGACTTTCATGTTGCCATACGTAGAAGGTCTTTTGGGGTCCATTGAACCCCAAGAAAAAATAGACTCATACTACAGTACAGACCAAAAGTTTGGACACACCTTCTCATTCAGTGAGTTTCCTTTCTTTTCATGACATTTTAGATTCACACTGAAGGCATCAAAATGAATTAACACATGTGGAAATATGTGCTTAACAAAAAAGTGTAAAACAACTGAAAATACGCCTTATATTCTAGTTTCTTCAAAGTAGCCACCTTTTGCTGTGATCACTGCGTCGCACACACTCTGCATTCTCTTGATGAGCTTCACCTGAAATGGTTTTCACTTCACAGGTGTGCCCTGTCAGGTTTAATAGGTGGGATTTCTTGCCGTATAAATGGGGTTGGGACCATCAGTTGTCTTGTGCAGAAGTCAGGTGGATACACAGCTGATAGTCCTACTGAATAGACTGTTAGAATTTGTACTATGGCAAGAAAAAAGCAGCTGAGTAAAGAAAAACGAGTGGCCACCATTACTTTAAGAAATGAAGGTCAGTCAGGCCGAAAAATTGGGAAAACTTTGAAAGTGTCCCCAAGTGCAGTCGCAAAAACCATCAAGCGCTACAAAGAAACTGGCTCACATGAAAAGAAAAAAACACTCTTTGAATGAGAAGGTGTGTCCAAACTTTTGGTCTGTACTGTATGTTAAATTAATTTTCTGATAAGCGGATATAGTTTTGGTTCCAATGACAAATGTTCCTCTTTTTATATTTAAAAAAAAAAAATCTTGAAAAATAAAAAAACAATACTTGTCACCTAAACCAAGTAGCCTGGGGTCCAAAAGGCCCCAAAAGTCCTGAATAGGATTAAGCAAATTGCAATCATTAAATTAAAATTTTTCAATAATCAATCCATCAGTTGCCACAAGCACAAACCTGGAGGACGGCGTGGAAAGCTCGGCTCATGAAACCCCGCCAGGCCTGGGGCAGGAGGAGAGCACGGTGCCACTCCGATGGCTGAATGTTCACCTAAATAAAACAATTTTTAAAAAAGAGTTATCGTTTGAAACTGTTCTTACATCAAAGAGGAGTGAGAGAGGCATGCTTAGACGTACTTCATGAATGAGGGCCGTGAGGGTCTGCTGGTAGCTGCGGCTGCGACTGACGAGGAAGCGATCGATCGGTTTGCCTTCACGGTCCGTCTGCACGGGCAGCTCGTAACTGAGCAGCAGTCCAGCTGCAACGCAGAAAACAAGAGGGGTGAGCTACTGTGTGTTGAAGCTGAACAGGTCCAGTTTAACTTCATAGACTGTATTAGATCCAGATGAAAGTATCTGTGTAGCTCGTTACCAGTAAAGGTAATTGAATATCTTTGTTGTGATTAAATAGACACATAAAGCAGCAAGTTCTGTTCAAGAAATGTTGCTAATTTTTTGTGTATTTCACAGAAGTTCCTGAAAGTCCTCCACTAGCTTGTGTTCATCCATCATTTCAACTTTTAATATGATTTGGGGTTAAAGTCAAAAGATTTATTGTTCAGAAGCACCAAACAGGAACGACCATCTCCACAAACTTGACATGTTACCACAGTAGAGAAGCTATGCTGCTGAGACAATCTAAACATACCTGCTAGTCCAGGCTTCAGCCCAGGCTGCTTATTTTTCTCATAAGTCTTAAGCATGAATGATGGGATTCCTGCCACCGTTTTCCCCTGATCTGAACGAAGGCCCCCTCCCCTCAGGGCAGAGAAATACACCCCTCGTGGCATCTGGTTCATCTCCTGCTTCACCAGAGACGTCAGGAAGAGCTCCAAGGCTGCAGCAAAGTAAAAAAGTTTAACAACATTTGAGTGCTTTCCACCATTAATGTGATGGTATTGCCCTGCTGGAAGCATCATCGCTGGGGACTGAACCCAGCTTGAGGGGAATTTGTTGTTAACATTTTACCACAAGGTACCCAGATGTGCCAATTGCAGAGCAAAAGAGAGCGTTTGACCCGTGAGGATAATCTACCTGGTAGAGCAGATGGGGAGGTTAGAGATATCAACTTGACATAAGATGAGCCTGGGATGGAGAGATCCTGCTCCTCTTCCTCCTTATTCTGTTCATCATCCTCCTCATTTTCAGGGAGCTTTGTAGCAGGTCTGGCCTACAGGGATAACAGAACAGCATAAACAGACACAACTGAACGATTAAAACACCTTACACAAAGAGCTAAATCATAGCCTAGTAGCTGACTCAATAATGCCCCTTACACCTCAATGAAAAGGGTGATTCCACCTCAATTTAGCAAATAATAAAAAAAAAGAGTTCACACTTGACAATGTTCTTTTTTTTTTTTTTTAAAGTGGGGACTATTGATTGAGTTGACCATGAGTAAAACGGGGTCATAGGTGACATTAGTTTTTGAATTCCTAAAGAGGGGTGGGGTCATGCCACTGATGCATGGTCTTCTTTGCATCTATCTGTAGATACCTTGAAAAGTAATGTAGCTAGAGTCCTGAAATTTTGCAGGCTCATTGATATGTACATGTGGTCTTTCATGGTACAACCCTGCTTTGATAGAACAATACAAACCAGTTGGGTGATGGTGCAAATTTGATCAGAAAATGTCCAGGTTTTTTTTTCTATTCCGATGTTCCACCAACCGTAAAAGCTTTATTGTTCACCCTAAGAGGCCGATTTGTTTCCCCCTATGATTGGCACCAATAGCAGCTTTAAAAACGTAGCGTATGTTGCCATTTAAAGGCATACTTTATGAGCAAAAAAAAACAAACTAAATCACTTTTCTTGCATTTGTATTCAAAGATGGTCAGCTATGGGGGGGAATTCAGTGAATTGAGGCGGAATATCAAACTAACATTTTAACACAGCACATACGAACCATTATTTATGCTGTCATTTGAAACTTTGTAATACTAAAGCTTTCGGCACAGTGCTGTTTTAAGGACACATAGCAATTTTGTCTAATTGAATTGAACTACCAAGACAGCAGCCATTCTAGCAGCTCTGCAAGGCTATACTTGTCCTCCTAAAATTACACCCCTGACAGTGCGCTGCATGCACAGTCTAGCTCTGGAAAAGACACAGGCAGGTGCTTTAGACTTGGCAC